TAGTCACTTAAGTAATAAAATAATAAAATAATAAGAAGAGTGTTGAATCTACAAACATTATAATTAATTAAGTATAAAAAATAATTAATTTTAAAATTATTTAAACAAATAAAAAGAGAAAATTTTTTTAATTAAAACTAATTAAAAAATAACCATTTAAAATAAAAATTATTGAGTCTTGGACATGGTATTATGATCTAAGTCTTCGTCAAGGCTCTTCTGTTCAAGCAAAACGACTTTTGTTATTACACCATTTTTGTGATGGATGATGTTTACATATGAACTACTATTGTGATTAGGAAGTGATGTATATATCAATGTTTCATATTAATTTTCAATTTCACTAGAACTTTGCATGAAATTAATAGATGAGATTCATGGTATATTATCCCAAGAAAAATTGATGTGCTAAAATTTATTAATAAGTATACTAGTCACTTAAGTAATAAAATAATAAAGTAATAAAAAAAGTATCAAATTTACAAAAATTATAATTAATTAAGTAAAAAAATCACTAATTTTAAAATTATTTGAACAAATAAAAAGAAAAATTTTTTTAATTAAAACTAATTAAAAAATAACTATTTAAAATAAAATTTACCAAGATATGCTAAAGTATCTGATTTCACCAAAAGCAATCACCATAAGCAATCAATATAAATATTAGATTATTATATTTTAAAGATATTTACTATTCATATGACAACAAAATTTACTATCTTTTTAATATACTTTCTCTAATGAAAGCTTACCAAGGATATATTAATAATATAAAGATTACAATTTATCTATTATTTGCTATATAGGTAAGTACATAAAATCAAATTTCTACTATTATCTCATTCATGGACTGTTATTTTATCCAAAAATATTGTTCTTACTTTAAAATTTCTTTTAACTTATATTAAAGATTGACACACACATCATATTTATTGTAGGTCAATTTTCATATTTATGCTATGAGAATTAAAATAGTGACGATAAAGAGAATAGACTAATAAAAAGTTTAGAATCTATTAATCTATAATCTAAATAAGGAAGATTAAATAACAAAATTAAACTTTGCAAGTTGAGCCTTCAAGTGAATATG